GCATGTTGGGAGATGTTAGGAACATTTCATTTATGCTGATTATGATTCTTTTGGCTATTGGACCATGTAAGTCGATTTAGTAATACCTTTTATTTTAATTATCCCTATGCAGGTGAATTTTCTTTAGCTTCAATAAAAGATGGCTAGATGGGATGCAATTCTTTCTCTTCCTGTACAAAATCCTCCTACACTGGAGTTTTCTTCTGTTGATCTAGTATGGTCAAAAGTTGAAGGTTGGCATGACAAATTAGACAGAGTAGCTTTAATCCCATTTGCTAGAGTTGATGATTTTGTTCGGGGTGAATCCTCCAACAAAGATTGTCCCACACGATTTCATGTTGAAGCCAGACGTAGGAGGCCTGCATCAATGTCTTACAAGCCAAAGGTTGACGGCATACTAGAATATATTCTGTACGTTGCAAAATTATTTGTTCAACAACTCTTAGTCGATACTCCAACTTCTACTATCCTAAATGTTTAGAAATTGATCTTATTATTGGTGTGTAGGTATTGGTGTTCCTTTGGTCCCGATGACCACAGGAAGGGTGGCATTGTACGGCCCAGTCGGAGTACTTATGTTCCAAAGAAAAAAAATGCTGGTCGACCAAATACCAAAAGGGGATGCACATGTCACTTTATTGTGAAACGCCTGATAGCTGAACCATCAGTTGCCCTTATCATTTTTAATGATGATAAGCATGTGGATAAAAAGGGGTTGCCATGCCATGGTCCTCAGGACAAGATGGCTGCTGGAACACGTGCTATGTTTGCTCCGTACATCTCAGAAGATCTTAGACTTCGTGTGTTATCTCTTCTATATGTTGGTGTCTCTGTGGAGACCATTATGCAGAGGCATAATGAAACAGTGGAGAGACAAGGCGGTCCATCTAACCGTGATGACCTTTTAACCCATCGTTATGTTCGACGGCAAGAGCGGGCAATACGTCGGTCTACATATGAACTTGATCCTGATGATGCTGTCAGTATCAGCATGTGGGTTGAAAGCCACCAGAGTCATGTATTCTTTTATGAAGATTTCTCTGATTCAGACCCTTTCACTTTAGGCATTCAAACTGAGTGGCAGTTGCAACAAATGATTAGATTTGGAAACCGTAGTCTCCTTGTCTCAGATTCAAAATTTGGTACCAACAAATTGAAGGTTTGTTGACTTCTGTTCCTTGATTTGAAGTAATGAAAATCTTAAAACATTTTATCATAGATTATTAGTCTTACTGAAACTAACTGGAAGCGCATTTACAAATGCATCCAGTACCCCATTCACAGTCTTCTAGTATTCAACTCTGACAAGAAGGCCATACCAGTGGCTTGGATAATAATGCCAAGATTTTCAAGTTTGGATTCACATAGATGGATGAGAGCCCTTTATAATAGGGTCCATACTAAAGATCCTACGTGGAGGTTGGCTGGCTTTATAGTAGATGATCCTCTATGTGATATCCTTGCGATCAGGTTGGCTGTGCTTATATATGTTTTTTTTTTTTTTTTTCAAAATTTTCTTCTAATATGCAGATTAAAACTTCCAAATAGTAGAATAATAAATTCTAGTTTCTGTTTGACATTTTGCAAAGGAGAGAAGACATTTATTGATGATTGATACCTGCTTATAAATTTTGGGTGCTTTGGAATGCACTGCAAAAGCTGGTGACTCTGCAGCTATATTTGACTTTTATCATCGGGTAACAGGTGTAGATGCATCTGTTTTCACTGTTGCCAATCATGGGATCAGTGCTTTATGTGTTCTTTTTTCTCTTTGAATCAAAAATTGATCCTTTTCATTTTCATTTTTTAAGTTCCAAGAATAAGAATTAAACTTATATGTATAGGTTACTAGGACTAGAAAATGGGTGAAATGAACTGTAACTATGACTGAGTCCTCTGGTCCTAGTCATGAGACGTGTTCCAGGTGATATAGATTTGTGTGTATGTTAGTGCTGACTGCTGATGATTAATTCAAACATGAAGCTGTGTGGATTTGAATACTTTTCATTAAAAGGTGTTTTTTTTCCCCCTCCTGATCAAAATCCGAGTTTTGAGTATCAACCTTTCCTATATGTTTCTCAGGGATGTTTTTCAGTGTTCAGTATTGGTAAGCTTCTGGAGGATTCGTCATGCATTGCATAAAAACATTATGAAGAAGTGTTTGGATACTGGGATGCAAGCTGAAATATCAAGACGCCTTGGACAAATAGTGGACAAAATATGCCGGGGCCAGGGAACAGTGGTCCTCTTTGAAGATTTTATTGAAGATTTTGTTGATGAATCAGATTTTATGGATTATTTTAAGGCTACCTGGTATCCCAGAATAGGTTGATGATTTTATCTGGCTAACAGAATATCATTCCCTTTGAACAGTTCTTCTTGTTTACCAATGTTCTTTTGTTTTGAAAGGGGAAAAACAGTCTTCGCCTACTTTGGAATAGTTTTGCCTCAGTCAAAATTATGGGAATTTTTGTTTTGAAACTCTGCACTTATAAAGGGCTGTTCATGAAGTTCTAAAACTAGATATAGAAACTAAGGACTTTTAAGTTATTATGGTAACAAACTTGAAGAACTAATGTTGTTTATCCTAATAATATTGGTATGTGATATCTACTGTTCAACCATGATTTTGAACTTGTGACAGTAAGAAAGTTGTACTAATAATCAGAGATGTAGCCATAATATTGTTGAGTAATCTTTATAACTGATAATGATAGCTAGTGCCCAAAATTAGTTTTCCAAATTGACTATATAACCTTGGAATATTGTGTACCTGGAGTTTGAAATTGTGATTCCACTATAATAATTCTTTACCTGGTGTTAGTGTGGATTAACTCCATAAACTTTATTCTGGAATTTAAATTATCTCTTTCAGTTCTGGCTGAAAAAAGCGGGAAAAAAAACTTTCATGTGGCTCTTGCTGTTACTTTGTGCTTTCAGACATGGTAGTTAGGGATAATTGGTCTGCCAATTTAGTGGCTGTCAAATGATGAATAAAATCATTTTTGTTTTAGGAGAAAAACAATGTGACTTTGATATTATTTTAAATTGTATTATGACGTTTTTGGTATGTCTGACCCAGGGAGGTGGACCAGTGCACTAAAAACTCTTCCTCTTGCCAGCCATGAGACTTGTGCAGCGATAGAATTTTACCACAACCAACTGAAGATTAGACTGTTGAATGAGAAAAACATCAGTGTTTATCAGCGTGCTGATTGGTTAGTTGACAAGTTGGGTACCAAAGTTCATTCTTATTTTTGGCTTGATGAATATACGGGAAAAGATGATTTTGCACGATATTGGAAAAATGAATGGGCAAGCGGTTTAACATCATGGCGCAAAACACTGAAGATACAAGATTCTGATGTTGTCATGGATGATGGATGTGCTAAGGTTATTGATCAACTCGATCAAGATAAAGTTCATGTTGTCTGGAATCCTGGTTCTATGTTTGGAATTTGTAATTGTGATTGGGCACAAGAAGGCAACCTTTGTGAGCACATCTTAAAAGTTATTAGTTTTTGTCAGAAGAAAAGGTCTATTCTTCCATCTATCAGCTTATTTCAGTACCACCAGGCGTTAATAGACATGCTGCACTGTCCACCCTATGATTCTTTGATTCGTGATCATGCTGTGTCATTGGCAGTTTCTGTTCAGAAGCAATTAAATATGCTGCTTGATTCAGAAAGCCGCCAGAATGTTATGGATCCTCCTGGTGAGAAACACACCATTCATCACACCAATCAACTAACATCCAGTTTAGAAACATTGTTGGGCCGGATGAGACAAAGAAATGATGCTTCATCTCGTGAAGGTGACGGTTCTGCAGAAGGAAGTGAAGCTCCTGGATTACTAAATGTTGGTTCGGGAGATCAGGTTATTGGTGATGGACAAGGCACGTTACCGGCTGATATGGATGTCGACCCATCGAGGATTTGTGTTTCGCCAATCCCACCAGGTTTGTACTCTGTTGATGAGGCTGTCGTGAGTAACATGTTGCCACTGGACAGAGAGGGGGCTCTGACTCCTACAGGGAGTGAGATGTCTTCTTCCAGAAATGGTGCTTCTTGTGGATCACCAACGGAGACTATAAAGCATTGTAGCCAGCAGAACACTGCCAATGGTACGTCCACAGTTATGTCTCATGCTGTAGATTCTGATATTCACTTGAACAAGAGATCCCACTTGATATCGGTGGATACTGAACCACCAGTGGTTAATGTAGTTGAAAATGAAAACCCAGAGAACATGGATGTTGATATGAGACCAAATAATACATGACCATTTGGCATGAGGAGCTATTATCAATTTCTTAAATCAAAACATAACTAAATGATGTTTTTTTTAATCAATTTTCTTACAGCATTGCATGGTTGGATTTTTCGGAAGAAATTGTGTCAACTAGATTGATGTGTGAATTGAGTTCTGCTACGTAGCAGAGCCCGTAAAAAATAGAGCCGGTAAAATTTGATTGAAAACTGATAAAAATAATAAGTTAAAATTAGAGTATAATAGTTTAATTAGAATTAATTTAATCACAACTGGGTCTTTCCTAAATAGTTATTAAGGAGAAAATTTCGGTAAAATATTTATCAAGGAGAAGCTTTAGGTACTTGCTGTATTTTTTTCAAAACGTTAATTTTAGAGTTAGCTAAAAGATAAAACATGCACCGAGAAAAGAAAAATATAAATGTTCTAACTGGAGCAAGAAAAAAAGACTAACTGAAGTCCTTAAGTTTTTCTCCCTCCGAAGTAAATTTTAAACTAGTATTTTTATCCATTTAATGATTTTTTTAATAATAAACAGAAAATCATTGACAGACCACTTCATAATAAACATTTTAGAAAGTTTACTTGATTAAATATTGTCAATTAAACATATAGACTCTCCAACGGTACAGCCTTCAGGAGTTGAAATATCCACATATTGTACAGACTATACCCGAATAGGGAGAAATTCATATGTAAGGGGGAAGGAGAGACAAAGAATCACACCACAATTTTTTCACTGTCAAAGATTTGTTTAATCTTTTGCAGTCCAGCATAAGAGATACTATTCAAGGCCATGAATTTTTTTTTGAAAAAAGAAACAACCGAAATTCTAAATTAAATTTGATGGCAGCTATGATTGCTTAAATTTTCTGCACAAGATTTTTCTCATAATGTGTCTTGAGATGCCCATCCTTTCTTCTCCAACTCTAGTCGCAATGCCTGTTATTAACCCAGCAAGATTCTTTCATCAATCATACCAAATATGCATGCAAACAGAGCAATAACACAAAAAAGATTTATGCTTTGCTTATATTACCTTGATTCTCTTTCTGTTTGCATCAAAATCAAAGTTTCCCAGTCTTGATGCAGATCGATACTCCACAATTGAGTTCTTCCCAGGTCGGAACCAGAACTCAACATCATCCACAAACTGATAGAACATAATGATAAATGCATCAGATTGTCTGGTTTTTGCCATGGTGTTACTAACATCTCTGAACAATCTTATGAAAAATCTCTTAACATACCCCAAAGATTGGGCATTGGTACTCCACGCGAATATAGTCCTCTCTTCTTTCTGCTATTCGTGGTGTAAATCTGTCAGGTTGAGTTGTTTCTATCTGCAAAATTAGCCAGAAATGAGGCCACCAAGCTTTACTTCAGAGAGGAATGAGATAGTACAAATTTGATTATTCAAAAGATTCGGGGTCATAATTTTAATTTAGACTTACCACGTCTATCAGTTCCTCCATTGCTTCTTCTCTGCTCACAGGCTTTTTCCTACCTTCACCGTTATAGTTCCTGTAAGAGTCAGGAATATACAATTACATGTAAGACCCAAATTTTGTCTTCATTACATCTTTGAATATACTATGTATATCTACTATTGTCCAATGGTTTGGATTAGTTGGTACAATCTATAACGCGCAATGGAATGACCAGTAAGTTGATGGAGCGGAAGGATAACAATTTACAAATTTTTATGTTATACTTGTTTTTCGAGTACTTAAACCTTGTTCAAAGGGGTCAAAAAGATTGAAAAGGTAAAAAGAATTATACAAGGTTGAATAACATGGGTGAAGAAAATTTTTTAAGTAAATACAAAAACCGAGAGAAAAAAAACAAATCAATTACAATTTATCAATAGCATGTTCCACATAGATTTTATATTTTATATGGTGTTTATTTGGCCTAAAAATAAGAAAACGAACACGTTTATTCATGAATGACAAAGTCAAAGAATCTCTCGCAAAGTCAATGCCCCACAGCCCAACTATAGCACCGCACTAATTTCACGTTTCCAATTCCAAATGTGTTAAATTATTCCAACATGATTCACATGGGCACGCTCTCTATTCTTCCAGCCGCCCCTTGTACACCAAACCCCGTACGGTTCATCTTTTCTGGTTTGTTTCATTCAGAGGTTTATCAGATTGCAGAGTTCATTTCGGGCCTTCAGTGATAAATAAATTAAACTAATTCACTCAATCTCAGAAACCAGAGTTCAAATAAGAAGAAGAAGAAGAAGAAGAAGAAAGGAAGCTTTACCAAGGCGGGGCATAATGCGCAAGATCACTGACATTCTCCGATGTCGACACGCAGTTCTTAGTTGCCGGACACAGAGCCAGTGCCGGTGGATTTTTCTGAACTCCAAGGTAATCAGGTTTTTTCCCACTGAAATGCAGGACAAATCCAAGCCAAAATTACCTCATTTTCAATAAAAAAAAGAATAATCCAAATGTTCCTAACATGCGCTTCAATCACCAAGTCCAAACCCATAGATTAAAACAAGAAAAAAAAATTAGGAGGAAATGAAAAACAGCTGTGGACCTGAAATTGAAAATGGCACCAATGGTGGCTATCTCGCTACTCTTGAGAATTAGCTCCCTGTGTAAAAATGTGAGAAGCATAACAAATTTCAACCTACGAGCATAAAAGATGAACGGAATAGTTTCTGAAGAAGAAGAAGAAGTCTGACCTGCGTTTGATTTGCTCTGGAGGCTTGTCGTGGGGTTTTTTATTGCAGAGTTGGATACGGGGAATGTTATTGGTTTTGCTGAAAATCTTAAGGGCACAGAAGGTTCTGGAAAACGCCATTGAAGCCATTGTTGTATGAGGAGAAGCTGAGAGCAAGGCGTTAGGAGAGGAGAGCTACGAGGCTTTTGAAGCGTGCGATGGCCGGTGGCACTCATCTTATCACCGTCCACGAGGAGGCCAACCGGCGGCTTCCGAAACGCTGTCGTTTCCGAATTTGCGGCTGATAAACATGTGACCATATTCCACTAATACATTTTTTATTTGTGGATGGCAGGATTATAACATCACGTTTGGTACGGTGGAATTGGGCCGTGAATGAGGAATTCTTAGGTACTCTCAGAGTACCACGTAATCTGTACGCTGACTAATGACATGATACCATGTAAATAATTTTATCCTATTTGTCAGATGAGATGTTAACTCTCACACTCTCTAATATTTTAATAAATTCGTATAGTAATTCGTGCCCTTTTTAATCTCTTATATTCTCTCTTATATACATCCCCTTCTCAGCACCTATTCGGCTATTTCCCCTCTCTCATTCAGGCACATCAAGCAAGACCCCCCGCTTCTCTTCCTTGCTTCATGTTTGTATTGCAAAATTTTTAAGATGATTTTTTTTCATTCCACAAATTTTATTTACCTTTATATTATATAAAATATATATAATAATAATTTTATATATTAAAATCATTTAAATCTTGAAATAATTATGTATCAAAATTATAATTCTAATTATATAAATTTACCAGTCTTTTGAATTTTATGCAAGCTTTTGAATTATTGCAATTCCCAACAAATTTTTGAGTTAGGCTAGATTTTTCAAATTTACATTTTAGTTATGTTGTTTAAATTTATATAGCATATTTTTAGTCCATTAATTTTTATTTCTCCTATCCTATTTATAAATCATTTTTAATATGTTTCATCTAGGCTAAGAAAATTTTTAAATTTTATTAACTTTGTCTTCAAATTCAACCATTTAAATTATTTTAATATATAAAATTATTATTATTATATTTTTTATATAAATATAAAGGTAAACAAAATTTGTGGAATGAAAAAAAATCATTTTAAAATTTTTGCAATGCAAGTATGAAGGAGGGAAGAGAAGCACTAGAGGGGGTCTTGAGTGATGTGCCCGAATGAGAGAGGGGGAATTGCCGAATAGGTACTGAGAAAGGGATGTACGTGAGAGGGAATATAAGAGATTAAAAACGGCAAGAATTACTGTATGAATCTATTAAAATATTAGAGAGTGTGAGAGTTAACATCTCAGTTGACAGATGGGATAAAATTGGTTCACATGGCATCATGTCATTGGTCAACATATAGGTTACGTGGTACTCTAGGAGTACCTAAGAATTCCTCACTAAGAATAACATTGGCAAGTAAAACTTGAAAAGAAAGCTACTAGAAAATTTTTTTTTGGCCGGGCGACTTGACGATCGTATCCTATTTATACAATACGACCATATTTTTCAAATTAAAACAGACAATTTTTTTAAGTAGTTATAACAATACTCTAATCTTTGAGGCTAATTCAATAAAAAAAATCTTCTTCCTAAAAATAATATTAGGATCATGGCTATCCAATTCAATTATAATTAATTAATAATATGATTTCATAATTCTAATGAAAAATTATATATAACTGTGTGCAATAAAAATATTAAAATTCTACAAAAGTTTTGATTTTGATTATACATTAATAAAATATTAAAATTTATAAAAATTATGGCTAATGGGAAGTATGAAGTGTAGTGCATACATAATAGGGAGAAACTCGCACATTATAAGAAATGTTCCTGTCGAGGTTTAGCTTTTTCTAATAAGGCTGCCACAAATTTAAATTAATTTAGATTGTGTTAAATATCTTTTATGTTTGTATTTTATGTTTTGATTCTATATCACTAAAAGTCTTGGCCAAATATCATTAACTGAGGGTTTATGTATCTATTTATTCAATAAATAAGTCAATCAACCTCAAATAAAACTATGTGGTATCAGAGTAGTCATAATGGGCCTGAATTTGCAAGGCCAAGATGATCAAGGTACAATAATAGCATACTCCTCAGGTTTGATAGTACCAAGCTCTTCAATGACCATTCCTTCTGGTTGGCAACAACAAGTTCATTCAATAATTAGTCTTCATCTGATACTACACTTGTTTCCATCACCATTCATGGATTTAAAACTTGGACTAAATTAGATAGTTAGACTAGTCCAGCCGGCAGTTGAAAAATTTAACAGTTCGTTTCTTATAATTCAACTATTTGAAGAGTTTGACCATTTTGAACCACTAAAAATCGGCTTTTGAGCCAGGAACAGTAATGGTTTTTTATGAAATCAAATCATTCATGCTTTTTGTTAATAAAAGAAGCAGCAAAAGCAAGTACAAATGGTTGGGATGGAAGGGAGAAAGAAAATAGAGAGAAATGAGAGAAAGAAAATAGGAAACAAGATCACAAATCAACAATTGTACCTCTTTTTTTCTGATTATAATTAGAGATTCGACAATAGAAGAAAAATAATAGCACAACAGAAGCTTAATGAACATGGCTAGGAGAGAACGAACTAATGTCGGCGACCTTCCTTCACTTGGTTGAAAAATTAAAATCTATTGACAATAAATAAGCTATTCTTTACCCAAAGTCTTAATCCACTCAATTTTTTTTCATGAGAAGAAAATAAAACAAACTAAATATAAAAAATGATTCCGTAGAGTAGGAGCGCCGCCTATTCTATCTAGAAACCAATTCTCATATTTTAAAATGGCTAAAAAAATGACCAATTGATTGCAAAATGCTTTGCTTTTTAACTTCTTTTTTATTTTTTCAATTTTCATTAATATTTATTTATGATTATTATTTTTATTTATTATTTAAACTGTCTTCTAAATTGTTTATGTAATATGTTTGTTGGTGTAATTTGTTTATTTTGTATATCTGTGTTGTTTAATTTTTTTTAAAATTTTACTTCTTACATTGTATTATTATATATACACATATAATATTTTCTTGTTAAATTTATGACATTACTGGTTGTATTGGCAGTCTGACCGGTTGAACCATAAAAATTGTGACTCATTCGTCTTTTTGATTTTGTGTTTGGTCTCACTTTTAAAACACTACCTCTGATGGGCTGTTAGCACACAACTTTATTTATTTAATTCTACATTATTTGTTTACTTAATACTATAAAATTTTAAATTCACATTCTATCCTCAAATAAGTTATTGTTATTTTTTTTACCACAAATATATTGTTAATTTGAGACAATTTTTTTAAAATAAAAAAGAGTATAGGAAGAGAAATTTTGAACCATGCTTAAATGTTGTAAAATTAAAAAAGAGGACTCATACAGTGTCATTTGCAAAACAAATAAGCAAAAGAAGAACCCTCTGCACCGAGTTTAGCACTATGGCTTCAGGCTTCCTCTGTCTTCACACCTTCATTTCTATTTCTCTCACAACTCAAACTTCCTCTCCTCTTCTACTACCACTACCCACCAATTTAGAGTCGGAAAAACAGGTCGAACCCATCATTTAAGCCCGTTTAAGTCAAAGATTGAGTTTATAATTTAGGGTCTTCAAAAAGGACTTGGATTTAAAAGGGTCAGCCCTACAAGGCTGAAAATTAAAAGGGCCGGGCCTGTAGGGCTGCACCCAACCCGTTTAAGCGCGCCAAAATTTTTTTTTATTTATATCTTTTTTGTACAGCTTCAGCTTGACCACTGTTTACTTGTCCAAGCAAAACCCTAAATCCCTAACTAGTAATCACATATTCACATTCACTCGACACTTGGTCAATTCACTTCCTCCCTCCCTGTTACACACACGCGGCCACACGTAGCGTAGAAGTGCAGAACAGTAGAAGCTAAGATTACCATCGTGCCATCGATGCAAGTATCTACTAGGAAGAGAACAAACATTATTGGTTTTGCTGATAAGTTTGTTGCCACTAATACTTATCAGTCACAGCCATTGGAGCAACGATCTAGTAGTGACAAAAGGTCGCCGCTGAAAACTTTCAGCGACGACTTTTAGTTTTCAGCAGTGAGTTTTTAGCGGCGACTTTTAGTTTTTAGTGGTGATTTTTAGACTTTCAACAACGATACTAAAAATCAAATTTTTTGTAGTATTAGTAGCTTCCTTCTTGATTATTATTATTTTATGTCCTTGGATTTAGATTTTACTGAATTTTTGTTTTTTGCCAATTCATTGAACTATTATACACACATATTACTTAGGATATATATTTACTAAAAACTTTGGACTTAGTTTTTCTTCATTTTATTTTTTGTAAATTAAGTAAGCTTTTTTTTTTTAATTTCTTACATACTTTCTGTTTTTTAATTAAAAAAACAATTCTTCAACTATTTTTATTCATATTGAAAATCAATTTACGTTCTTAAGTAGCTTATCATGTTTTGAGTTTATTTTATTATCATATTGACAATAGTACAAGAGATTCATATTTACGTGAAATTTTCGATTTTTCAAACAGAAAATTGATCGGGAGAAAAGGTTTTTATTTGTATGATATATCAAATTTTGAATACAATGAGTCAAACCACGTTTAATAATTATATTATAATTAACTCTTTCCTCGTTTATACATGAAAAGTAGGTGGTGAATTAGATTTTTAAAAAAATGAGGACCGCATTAATATATGTGCTCCATATTTTTTGTAAGACGAAGTTACGTTCATTTGCTTCAATTGGTTGATAGAAATCTGCGATAAACAAAGGAGCGATAATAAATCAAATGGGCACAAATTCTTAATAAAATTTAGAGTAAAATTGTATCCAATACTCTGATATTATTTTACAGTTACATCTCATATCCTGATTTTATTTATAGCACATTCAGCACCTCAATATCATTACATGGAACATCATAATTTTATTTATGGTTTAAGGTGCTAGATACATTATAAATAAGATTAAGGTGTTAAAAATAAAAAAAAATTAAGATATTGAATGCACCATAAACAAATAATATTATAGTGTTAGATACTACTTTACCCTAAAATTTTCTCGAAACTCTAAATATACTGTATGCTTATCACAACGTAATTAACT